TTTCTTTTGGGCCAGTTTTGTTTCCTTTTTTCGAAAAAAAAAAAAAAAAAACCAGGGTTTTAAAGAGCTTAAAAAAAGGCACTTGGACACGAAACAGCTCTTACAAAACAACATGTTGATGAGTTAAGTATAAATGAATCAGAGACATATGGATTAAATTTCCCTTGCAATCCACAGGGGCTTCAAAATTAGGGGAAGAGTGTTGGTCTCAATGTGTGTCTGTCTCCGCCAGGGTCTGGGACAGAATCGGAGGTTGTGCCTTTGCTGGGGAAGCCTTGCCCAGTCCTCCCCCACGTCTCTCTTCCCCCAATGGCAGGGCTGAGAGCCAAGGAAGTGACTCTAGGTCTCAGTTGTGTTTTTCTGCTCCTCAGTCCTGCAGTCCTTTTGCTCTTAATTGAATCGTTCCCCACATCTCTCTCCTGTGTCTTCCAATGAGGGAGTAGGCCAATGTCTCACTCTCGTAAAGACCTTTAACGTGAAGGAGAAAGAGAGATGGACAGAAGCCAGGCTCACGCATGGGAGCTCTGTCCATGCCTTCCTGACTGTGAACCAGCTTATTTTGGCCCTTCCTGTCTTCCTCTTGTTAAAAAAACTTGCCAGAGGGTGTGGGTGCTCATTAGAGAGAAACAGAAAGAGAGAAATCACCCTCCTCCCTAGGGTGGCCATGTCTCAATCCCTTCTCCTCCCTTCTCCTCTTGGGATTTTGGGCACACGCACACACAGGTGCCTGATATATTTTCCAAGCCTCCGTGTCTGGGACTTGAACTGCACACTTGACCATGTGGGATCCAGCCACCTTTACCACCACATTACCTGGCTGGCTGTCCCAGCCTGTCCTGTCTTAATCCTTCCTGGCAACACAGATATCTATTGTTGTTCAGACATGGATATTAGAAATACCACCCAGGGGCCAGCAGATGACTTAATGATTACATCACTAGACTGCCACATTGTCAACCATGGTTCAAGCCCCAGATGTGGTGGCTTAAAATACATGTGTGTGTGTGTGCCCAAAATCCTGACAGGAGAATGGAGGAGAAGGGATTATGGCGTGGTCATCCCCTCTGGCGAGTAATTTTTCGCTTTCTGTGTCTCTGGTGAGGGCATGTGCCCTATAGCAAAAATCCCTTTAAAAAAAAAAAAAGAAAAGAAAAAAGAAATACCACTCATGGCGACCAGGAGGGAGAGGACCAAGGTACAGGTGAGGCAAAGGATTGGTAACTTCTGTTTTGCTTCTAGATCCCATTCTTGCTGTCAGGAGGTGGAAGCTGGAGGGATTCTGATCTCATGATAAGAATAAAGACCCTGGGTAGAAGAGGAGCTTTTTCCACTTAGACATCATCTAGAAATCCTGAAGAGTGTTGGCCTAGGAGTTTTTATTCTTCCTTCTCATTTTTTGACCAAGGAACAGAAAAACAAAGTATACAGTCATCCCTTTGGTACCCACAGAGAATTGGTTCCAGAATCCTCTTCTTTCCCCCATAACAAAATCTGTGGATGCTCAGGTCCCTAATACAAAAAGGCATAGTATTTGCATATAACCTGCGTACATCTTTTCATGTACTTGAAGTCATCTCTAAGCTATGTATAGCACCTAATCCACTGGACATGTTATGTAAGTAGTTGCTGTACATGTACTGTTTAGGGAACATGGTAAGAAAAGTCTATATATGTTCAGTACAGCTGCAGTCATGGGAATCTAACTGTGTGCTTAATCCCGTCAGCCACAGTTGAACACTTTCCGTCTGCAGTTGGTTGAATGTATGTGTGCTCATAAATATGGCGGGCCAAGCATATTTCGAGAGACCCCGAACACCTCAAACTGTGCTGCTGCTGTCTTGCTTTAGAACCCTTTTATTGGGTAGTTGGAACCAACTCATGATGTATTTGTCCTTTCTTTTCTTTTTTAAGTATTTTTTTAAAGAATTATTTTATCTAACTTTATTTAGCAGTAGTAGTAGTAGTAGTGTTTTTAATTTGACCAGAGAGAGAGAGAGAAGGATAGTGAGAAAGCAAGCCACCAGGTCCAGGACTCGAATCATAGTCGGCCATGTGGGAGTCCAGCGCCCCAACGACCACACCACCTGGCAGCCCCCATGGCATGTTTTTTTTTTTTAATTCAAAAAATGCATCATGACTTTCCAACAACCCAATACTTTAGAACCACTTGAGCAAGAGAAATCTTAATGGAAGCCCCCAGTGTAAAGCAGATAAGGAACTTCATCAGATGAATCCTTAATGAGACCCTCTTAGTGCCCCCTCAGCCCCGGTTAGTGGGACTCCTCTCCCCAGGTCTCTTTGGAACACAGTTTGAAAGCACAGCAGTAATCTAGACTAGGAATCACGGCATTCATTGGCCCTTAGTGCCAGCAGGAAACTTAGGGCCTCACGATGTTGTGTTGAGTGAAAGAAACCAGACGCAAAAGAGCACATGTGATGTGATTCCATTTATATGATGTCGAGAAATAAGCAAAACTGATCGCTGTTGGTGAAGTCAAATAGTAGTTCCTTCTGGTATTGATTGAGAGGGGCATGAAGAGAACTTCCTTGGGGTGCCTAAAGGGTTCTGTCTTTTCATGTAGAGATGTACGCAGAGATTTCGTGAGCTGTACACGTCAGTCAGTGCCCCTGGTGCTCTTAATTGTATACTTGTGATCTGTTCATGAATATTTTAAAAACTGGGGCCAGCAGGTGGCGTAGTGGTTCAGACACTGGACTCCTATATGGCTGACCGCGGTTCGAGTGCTGGATCCGCAGCTTGAAATGCATGCCAGGTGTATGAGTGTGCGTGCGTGCCCAAAATCCCAAGAGGAGACTGGAGAAGAAGGGATTGCGCATGGCCATCCCCCTTGGGCGGTGATTTCTTGCTCTCTGTCTTTCTGTTTCTCTGGCGAGTACACATGCTGAAGGTTTTTGTCTTAGGGTGCATGCATTTGCGGGGGGTCGGGGAGACAGCCACAGTGAGAGGGAAAGTGAGAAATCATGCCCTGAGGCAGATGGGTACACCATAATCCCTTCTCCTCCATTCTCCTCCCAGGATCTTGGGCACACATTCTCACATGCCCAGTATGAATTTCAAGCCACTGGGTCTGGGACTCAAACTGTGGTTGGCCATGTGAGAGTCCAATGATGTAGCTGCTACGCCAAGTGCTGGTCCTCCCCCCAACCCAATTTGTTTTTTTTCTTTCAAATCATCATCATCTCCCCAAAGTCTGGGTGTTCCCCATTGTCAGGCAGACCTTTTAGCACAAAGGTTGAGAATCTGGGCTTTGACATTGTCGCTGCAGAGGTGAGGCAGAAAGCAGGGAACAGGCTATAGGAAAGGTCAGCCTTGGGAAGAAAAATCAGTGTCTCATCCCCGTACACGGCCTTGGTAACATGGAGAGCCACAGCCAGGCTGAGGACTCCTCAGTGAGTCCTGACCAAAAGCCTACGCTGTGGTGGAAAGGCATAACACAGCGTTAAGGTGGTGTTTGGGATTCGAGGGGCCCCTCAGGATCACAGTATGCAACCAGGCCCTTTCTAAGGTACTTACGATGCTTCCTACCATCGTAAACCCCTTTCTCAACCATCTTGATATGAAGAGGAATCTGGGGGCTCTGAGAAAAGGGGGAAACTGCTTCCACAAGCCCCCACCTACCCACCCTTCCCTGTTCACAGGGACTGGGCATGCTGGATGCATGCAAAAGGACAGAGTGTCCATGACCAGCCAGCCAGGCTTCCAGAAAGGAGCCAGGCATGTCACAGGCAGTTGGACGTTTGCTCGAAGGGATGGAATTAGCTTCGTCAGGCTAGCCTGTCTGAGCTCTGCTTGGAAAACACAGTTGGCTGGTGGGGTTGAGGAATGTGGCCTGGACAAAGCATGGCAGTGTTTTGCAGAGTTCCAAGGCCCCTACAGGGGCAGGGAGGCTTGCGGGCCACTCTCTGGCTGCCCAGCAGGTGTGGCACACCATCCCTCCCCCCGCTCCCCATCCCAGTCGTCTTCCTCCTCCCGAGCCTGGGTACCAGTCACAGTGTCCTGGCCCAAGGGTTTCTGTCTTTTTCTAGAGTCCATGTGTGGACACCTGGGTGTTAGCCAGGCCAGGCACATTCATGCAGGAGGGAGATTTCAGCCAGCTTTTGCAAAACAGTTTTCTTTCCAACGCCAGCAGCTGCCCTTTGCCAATCAGTGCTAGAAGTGAACTACGCGCAGCTCTCTGTAACATTCCCCTCCTGGCTAATTCATCCCAGCTTCTCTCGGTTTAGTGCGAGGACAGGGGGAAGCAGAATGGTGACTCTCGCAGGCATTAGCTGCCACATCCTGACCTTTCTGTTATGGAGAGATGTGCCGCTTTTCCTGGACTTGACTGTCTAGACCAACACCACCAGCGGCACCTGTGTATGCTAACTTCCCTTCCTTTTCCAACAGAGAGGCCACATTTCTGCCGGGTCGGTCACTGGCACCGTGCCCGCACCCCCAGCCTTCTGTCCTGATGAAAACCAGGCCAGGAACTGGCCTCGGGCATTTGGCTCTAGGTCTCAGCTTCTCTCCTCACCCATCTGGGGTCCTTTCGCCCCAAGGTTGGAAGAACCAAGTTATTATGAGGTTTAGTCAAACCAACTGGGATTTCGCTTAAGTGATGTTTGGTCCTCAGGCCCATGCTGGCTTTCAGAATAACTTTTCTGTTTGCTTTTTTAACTTTTTCTTTTCATTTAGCGAGATGTTTACTCTTGGGTGCATGCTTGCCAGAGACACAGAGAAAGACAGAAAGTGAGAAATCACCCCTCCATCCCCAAGAGGGATGGCCACACTGCAGTCCCTTCTCCTCCATTCCCCTCTTGGGATTTTTGGTGTGCACTCACATACACCTGATGTCAGTTTCAAGCTGCAGGGTCCAGGACTTGAACTGCAGTCTGCCATGTGGGAGTCTAGCGCCTTTGTTGGTATGCCACTTTTCCTCGTTAATTGCCTTTAGGTACTAACAAGCTCTTGAAAATCAGCATGAAGAAGATAAACAAAAGGCAGGAACCAGCAATTCCCAGAATTAAAAAAAAAAAAAAAGTAAAATGACTAATAAACATACGGAAATTTGTTCAGCTTAAGTAGGGATCAAAGAAATACTAATTAAATCAGTTACAAGAATCTGTTTCCCCCTATTAAGTTGGCAACAATGATAACACAGGATGATTTTGATGTGGAGAAATGGGCTTTTATTTCCTCGCTATAAGGGACTAAATTGGTACAACTTTTCTGGAGGGCTCTTTGACAGTATTTTGTAAAAACCTTAAAAACGATTATTCTCTTTGACTCAGCAACTCCACTGCTTGGCATTTCTCTTACCTTAAGGAAATAATCAGAGATGTTCACAAAAGTTCATGTACAAAGTTGTGTATCGAAGCGCTATTTGTAAAGATGGAAAATTGGAAATGACTGAAATGCCCAACAATACAGACTCTGTTATATAAATCATGGCTCATTGAAATAATGAAACACCATGAAATCATTAAAATATGTCGTAGGACAATATTTAATGGCATGAAAAATATTTACAATATTTCCTATGTAGAAAAAGTCAGACTATAAGTCAGCGCGTTCAATATGATTCCAATTTTATACCGACAACAACAAATTCATATGGATGAGTGGAAAAAAATTGGAAAGATATACACAAGCCATTTAATTGTGGTTATTTCTAGGTCTGACGTTATGGATGGTTTTTATTTTCTCCTTGGTGTTTTTCTTTTGCCATTTCCAAATGAAGCATTTAACACAAACATAACTGTTTAAAGTTTAGGTCGTTTTCAATTTTTCGTTATTGGTAATGCGTTGATCAATGTCCTTTGCTTAAATTGTTGCATAGGCTTTTTGCCAGTTCATATAAGTGGAATTTGGGGGTCAGGTGGCATGTCTACTAACTGAGTGTTGCTTCTATAATTAAAGCAAAATTAAGTCCTCTGAGGGTTTTTGTTCTAGAATTGTCTTTCCCTTAATAAACCCCTATTACCTGGCCATATGTACACTCAGGTCTGCTCCGTCCCCATCCCCCTTTTGTTTTTAAGTTTATTTATTTCTTCCATGAGCTAGAGAAACAGAGAGAGAGAGGGAGAGAGGGAGAGAGGGAGAGAGCGAGAGCATGCAAGAGAAATCACCCCAATGAATCTTGATGCCACAATTCAACCCCACCTTCAGTCCACCCAGGTCACGGACACCTGTGTGTCTGGCACACTCAGGGAGGTCTCCAGATGTGAGCCTAGAACCCTTCCATGGAGGTTAACCTCACAGAGCCTTGAGTTTTACTGCTGTGCCACCATCCACCCCTCTCCTTTTAAGCTATGAGCTAAGAAAATCTGCCTACCACTGTCTTGGAGACAAGGTATTTTGGTGACATGGGCTCTGCCGCCATTTTCCGTGAGGTCCCTCTGTACCTGGTTGTCTCCAAAGTGGCTTCTTCCTGGCATCCCTCTCCATCTTCACCTGTGGCTGCCGATGAAGAGAAAGGCTTGAAGGCATAGGAGGGCCTGCTCGGTGCCAGTTGCTGGTTTGGCTGAGATCAAAACGTTGAGCATCTTTGATGACTCTCACTCCACATCGAATCCCAATTCTCTCCGTGTCTCCTCCAGCCCATGTGATGAAGCATGCCGCTTCTCAGCACCTACGCATGTACCGCCTAGTTCCCCGCCTCCGTCCCCTCGTGCTCTGTGGTTGCAATGGTCCACCTGGCTGGGCTCCCTGTGTTGTCCTGAGCTCCCGCCCCCACAACCAGAGGGGTCTTGCGAAAACATCGTGGACCTTTCCCAAGTCCTCCCAACCTCCTGTGGTGTCCCATCTCCCGCAGCAGAAAGCCAGGGGCCTCCGCGTTCTGGCTGCACCCCCTGCCAAGCTCCCCCTTGCTCGTCCACTGTGGTCAATACTGGCCTCTGCTCTGTGTCCTCGTAGGGACTGAGACCGTCTTCCCTTAGGCCCTTTACCTACAGTGTTGCCTCCCGGGCCTGTTCAGGGTCCGCCCTTACATTGCCTCTGTTCTGAGGTCAGATGGTTGAAGAGGCCTCTCTGACCTTGCTTTCCTAACCCCGCCTACTTGTTGTCATGGCTCCTATGATGGCCTGCCAGGGAAGGTATGTGTCTCTGCTTTCCCGAGTGGAGCCGGGATTTGCCTGTATTGCTCTGCCTCTGGCCCCAGAAGCCACGATGGAGCGGCAATTTCCTGATCTCTGTGCTAGGAGGACGAAGCAGAGGCTCAGAGGTGTGATGCGCGCAACTGGTCCATGTCATGACCTCTTGCAGATCCACGCTTCTGTCCAGCTTTCCAGCCTGTTTTCTGTCTATTCTCAGAGGTGGACCCTGAGCCTGGGGACTGCTCTTTCTGCTGCTTTTCCCAAAGCAGTGGGAACTGCTGGGTGGGCCCTTGTCACCCAGGATGCCTGTTGGGCTCGGTTAGGCCAGGTCCTGAGGTTGCCCATGAGGTTCTGTCTGTATGTACGGCCACACTGGTCTGCCTACGCCATGCCGTTTCGGGGCCAGTGCCCCTAAGCCCTGTGTGCCTAGGAAGAATCCTCTGCCTTTTGCAAATGGGATGACGTTCCTTGACCCAGTGTGACAGTCCAGCACAGCTGTGGCTCCCAGGTGACCTGGGGCACAGGCTGAAGTGGGCCACGTTCCAGCTCAGCATCATCTCTGCGTGCAGGGGGCGCTTTGCAGAGTGTTTCACTCCATCTTCTGTCTTCTCCGTTGCTGCCTCATTCCCCTGGTTATTTACGATTTGTTGAGTGCCCCTACTGTGTTCAGCGCACTAGGAGACGGAAAGTTGTTCCCGCCCGAGGCCTTGCAGCGTAATGCAGCCAGACAAATGACTCAGGCAGAAACCACCTTCCCAGAGAAGGTGCTTACCTCTCCAAGGCGTCAGGTTTCTCAAGGTTTTGATTCGCACAAGGCTTTCCATTTTTAAACTCCCCTTGGACAGGAGTAGAGACGACTCGGGGAGGGAGAGGGAAGTGTGGAGACAGGGCTGGGAGAGCAGAGTGGAAAATGTTGGCTATGTCAGGGTTTTTGAAAAGCAGTGACTTTCCAGGAGGCCTTTCCGAGGCATGCAGTTCGTGATTCGGGATGTGGCATTGGGGTGGGGCTGAGACGGTGCTAAGAAGCAGAGAAAATGAAGGCAGGAACCCAGGGAGTGGAGGCAGGTGTGAGACTCGGGTCAGAAGCCAGGGACAAGTCCAGTCAGCAAAGGTACTAAACATTCCTTCATTAATTCAACACATCTTTAGTAACTATCCAGTCTTAGCTGGGAACTCTGCTGGCTCTTGGGAGCTGGAGCTTTGCCTTCCAGGCACTTGAACTCTACTTGGAGAAGGGTGATTTGTCCTTGAAGTATTTAAAAACCTGTGATTCCCTGACTTAATAGACTATGTTAGGTCCCCTCTGCAACTCCTCTCAGAGAAATCTGTCCTCTTGCGCAGTCACATTTATGAAAATTTTAAGTGCTTTTCTTTGGTTTGTTCGTGTTTGATAAATCTTCAGCCCCTCCTCCCATGAGGATCATTACCCTGTCTATTGTCTTCATGCATCTCCAGGCTGAGAGCAGTTTTTGGCAGTGGAAGGCCTTCAGTAAATATTAACTGAGGGTCTGGCAGGTGGCATGGTGGTTAAGGAACTGGACTCCCACATGGCTGACCACAGTTCAAGTCCTGGACCTGGCAGCTTGCTTTTGTGCCTTTTCTCTTTCTCTCTCTTTCTCTCTTTGGTCAAATTAAAAAGTAATATTAACAATGATAACAAATGGAATTAAATAATAAAAATAAAATAGATGTTAACTGAATCAATGAAACCGTGAATGAATGAAGTGAAGGAAGCCTTATAGGGTGCACAAGAGGAATAAAGGAGGCTATGGTGGGAAGTCAGAAGAGGCCTTAATGGAGGAAATCTACTGGATCTGTGTAGTAATGCTCCCTAAAGATAAACAACAAGGGGCCAGCAGGTGACGTGGTGGTTAAGGCAGTGGACTCCTGCATGGCAAACCATGTTCGAGTCCCAGACCTAGTGGTTTGCTTTCCCTTTTCCTCTTTTTCTCAGTCTATCTCTGGTGACATGCCTGTAGCAAAAAATTAAAAAACAAAACAAAACAAAAACAAAAAATGAAATATATAAATCTTTAAAAAAGAAAGAATAACAACAATAGCTTCAGTACACTGGTTTGAGTGTGTCCCTTCCAAGATTTGCCAATGTAAGAGTATTAAGAGGTAGGACCTTTAAGAGGTAATTAGACCATGGGGGTCCCTTCCTCATGAATGGGTTTAGATGCTTCTTATAAAAGGGTCAACAAGGCACTGTGTCCCTTTTTTCCTTTCCATCATGTGAGAAGACAGTATTTGTCCCCTCTGAAGGCATCTGTGGAGGTGGTAGCAACAAAGCACTGCCTTGGGGAGCAATGATCAAGCCCTTACAAGATACTGAACTTGTTGGTACTCTGACATGGGGGGCTTTCCAGCCTCCAGAACTGTGAGGAAAAAAAATGATCTTCTTTATAAATTACCCAGTTGGTAATACTTTGTTGTAGCAGCACTAAATGTACTAAGAGAACCATTCTCAACAAATAGAATAGCTGCCATACGGGAAAGCAGAGTATGTGCCACGTGTTGAGCTAAGTGCCTCGTATATATCAGCTAGTAGTAAGTACATATATTTTGTAGGCAGGGTTCAGGGTAGCTGAACTTTGTCCTTAGGCACATAGTCTGAAAATAGCAGAATTGGGATTCTCATGTGACCACATCCCCAAAATGGTGTTTACCTTGATTGCCTGCAAATTGATACCTGTTGTTCTTAGAAGAATCACAGGACTAATGCAATAGAGATTCCAGCTGGATAGAGAGAATGCTGGTGTACTTAGGATTCTGTTTAGGGTAGAGGGAGTCTCAGAAAGGAATATGGAATGGTTTATAAGAAGGCTGTGGTGGGGTCAGAGTGGGACTCAGCATTCCCCTGGGGTTCCTTCCAGGGCACTTTGTATTGGACCATTAAACCACTAATGGAAGGTGACAGTGCTTGACATTTGGGTAATTAAAACATCCACTGACTGAATAATAACTTTTTATTGACAATCATACTGGTGAAGGCAAAATTAATTTGATTTCAGATATCAAGCTGTGGACTCGGCTGGACAGGGGCCAGCATCCTATGAAGAGAGCTTTTTGATCCTGTGGATGGTACCAAGCACTCCCAGGAGGCCTCGGTTCCAGCCAGGCTTGAAGGAGACAGTGTGGCCAAGCCGATCATGGCATGCTGAGCTGGTCTAGGTAGTTAGGGATACATGCTGTGCGTGGCCCAGTATGGTAGCCACTTGCCACATGTGGTTATGGAGCCGTGGACACATGGCTGGTGCTCTTGAGAAGCTAATTGGTACCGTCCAGTGTGGTACCCACCTGCCATATTTGGCTGCAGGTGACTACACCAAGAACTCACTCTAGAGGGACTCTGGGGAGATACTGTTTGTGACAGAAATGTGAGGTGCCTTATAATCCATGAGTAGTTAGAATAGCCCCCAGAAAGGTAGGAAACTTCTGGTCAGAGAGGAATTGTGTAGTGGAATATGGAGTGAGGGGAAGAGGCGTCGGGAGATGCAGAAGGTGCCTTACATGATACATCAGCTCATTGAATTTCAGTAATAGAGACCAGCAGATGGGGTAATGGTTGTGTTGCTGAACTCCTACCATGGTTCAAGTCCCAGACCCGGCAGCTTGAAACTCATGCTGAGTGCGTGTGCATGCACGCCCAAAGTCCTGAGAGGAGAATGGAGGAGAAGGGGTTGCAGCATGGCCATCCCTCTGGAGGGGTGATTTCTCGCTTTCTGTCTCTCTGTTTCTCTAGTGAGCACACATGCTCTATAGCAAAAATCTCTCTAAAAAATAAATAATAAATAAAATAATTTCAATAATAACCTAAGGATATTATTGGGTTGTCAGAAAAGTCATGATGCATTTTTTCATAGAAAAGCTTAGAAAAATATGTCTTGACTTAATTGTTTTTTGAGAAATTTTTTGCTATAGGGTGCATATGCTTGTCACAGAGACAGAGACAGACAGAAAGTGAGAAATCATCCCTCAGAGGGGATGGCCACACCACAATCCCTTCTCCTCCATTCTCCTCTCGGGATATTGGGCACACACGCACACGTGCCCTATTTGAGTTTCAAGCCTCCAGGTCCAGGACTTGAACCGCAGTTGACTACGTGGGAGTCCAGTGACATAGCCATTATGTTCTATGCTGGTCCTGATCTAGTTATGATTCTTCTGATTGATTTCCATTTGGTGACTTTACCAGAGGTCATTTGTCTTTCTGCTAGTTAATCCATATATATGGCATTTGGAATATATAACCCCAGAAAGAAAAGTGAAAAAGAAAAATTAAAAACCCAAATCATAGGACACCCCTAATTTTTTTTTTAATCTTCTCATGTAAATGCCTATCTCCCTCCTGTAAAGCCTTGCTGTTCCCCCTTGTGTGAGGACGGGGAGGGGCTGTTGTCCTGGGTCTTGCCTCTTCTGGTTTGCAATCCTGCCACCTTCTTTACTTGTCCTTCATGCATCAATAACAAAGTGAAATATATAAATTCCTAGAGCTCGTTCATTAGTGGCAGAGCCCCCCTCATTTGTGTTTGACAGCCCAAGGGGGTTTGTTAATGTCCCACTGGGAAGCACTGGGAAGCCTGGGTGTTTTATTGCTGGTGTTGCCCTTCTTTCGTTGACAGAAGATGCTAACCAGTGAGTGCTCTGTTCAGCTTGAGCCTGTACAGAATCACCTGGAAGGCTTGGTCACCAGTCCCTGATTTCTGGAGTCAGAAGGTCAGAGTGAGGCCCCAAAACTTGCATTTCCTGTAGGTTGCCAGGTGAACGCTAGCAGATGCTACTGGTCTGGACGCAGGCTTTGGGAACCGTGGCATTAGGCCAGGCTCGTCTGTCCACTGAATGTCACGGAAGAACTGTCCATATCCCCATTACATGGAGGGTGGGTGAAAACCCAGTTACCTGGTCCCATCCCCAAAGTTTTTGG